TGTACGCAAGCGTGACATTATCTCGGATAAACAACATTGACATTTTAGTGGTGCTGACCGTTTGGACGCTAGGCGTTTTGACGCTTGACCGGTTTGGCGCCGCAGTTTTAAAAATGTACATTTGATATGTTATATATAATATAATATATACGAGATACTATGTATGTGTAAAATATAAATAATGAATCATAAAAAAAAATTTAAATAACTTTATTCCAAATGAATTTAGTTCATTAACTAATATATCTTTATTTAATAGACTAAAATTAGTAAAAAGAAAAAAATGTAAATTCATATTTATAAAAAAATAATTGTATTTTTTATTATTTTAATAAAACATTCGTTTCGAGTTCTCTTAAAAACAATATAACTCGTATCATTTTACTGAGACAATTTACGAGTATAAACGACCAGTTTTGCACAGCAGGTACGATACGCAAGTGTACGAATGGATACAACAAATTAGATAATTATACCATAACTATCAATGTAACAATATAATTAACTTCAATACTATAATGCCAATTATTATTATGATAGCGTTAGACTGTTTAGTACACTCGTGTTCGTATATCAAGTAAGGTGTACTAATTAATATAATCTTAGACTTACTACCATTATAAATAATACCCGAATTACACCAAACGTATTCGGTCGAAAAAGGAATCCAATAACAATTTTTGTTAGCTGACAGTGGTAAAAATAATAATGGAATTTTAATATTTTAAAAACCATCATCATTAAATATTTTGCAACGTTCTAAAACATGGTTTATAAATGGAATATTTAATGTTAGTCATTTTTTATTTGCTCAGGTACACAGAATTTCAGATGAAGATTTAGGGGGGGTACATCCAGTACTTTATGGAATATGAAAAAAAAAAAATGAATCGTATCGTAATTGTTTGAAAATAATAAACAAAACCTAAATCCGGATCTATCACCATGCTCTATTATAATTTATATTTAAATCAATATCATTTTGCGATAAAAGAAGCATTTCCAGAAATTAATGTTTATGGGAGTTAATATAATTTGACTAAAAATAAAAAAAAATTGAGAAACTTGGAAATTACTTCAAAGTATAATAATGATTTTAATTTGTTGGTTTTAATAAAAATTATAATTAATTTGCATTTGTATCTATTGACTTGACATAGTAATAGATTTGTGTGCTGATGAATTACCCGATGAAATAATTTCGTTATTTAACTGGTTTGAGAAGTATTATGTAGGTAGAAAAAAATCGAAGAAAAACTGGTCGTAGATTATCCCAATTTTCTCCAGATATTCGAAATGTATACCAACGCGTTTTAAACAACCAAAATCAGACTAATAATCACGTTAAAGCAGCGAACCATCGATTAGATATTCAAATGAGATGTACAGAATTTACACTTGGTAATTTATAAATTCTATAAGGAAAAAAAAAATCGGGAAAGACTTTTATTACGAACAAATGGTTACCGAGATGGTCCACCTAAAAAAAAAAAAAAAAATGTATATACTCCGATAATAGAATTTTTAAATTAGTTACAAATTATGATAAATAAACATGTTATTACCAGGGTTTGCATTTGAAAAAAAAATTTTGTTTTACGTTATTTACAATCAAAATGTTGAGTTTATCGTTATTCAAAATTTAAATGTTATTCAACTTTTGTGTTTATCATTATTCAGAATTAAAACGTTATACAATTTTGCGTTTATCGTTATTCATAATTAAAACGTTATACAACCTTTGCGTTTATCGTTATTTAAAATTCAAAAGCATTTAGATACCTGTTTTAAAAGTACACAGGCCGCAATTTAAAAGTGACTATGATTTTTTTTTTGGGGACATAATTTCCCTATTTTGAATTTTAAGGAGGTATTCTATAATTTTATTTATTTTATTTTATTTATTTAATTAAATGGGTTAGATAACCCAATTACATATTATTTACAAAATATAGGGCACAGTGATAAAGATTAAATTACAATACATATGTAGTTCATAAAAAAATGAAAAACAAAATAAATGATAAAACAGTATGATAATAATTAATCTTAAGAGTAATAAATAATAATGTATTATTAAATGTAATAAATTGTCTAGGCTCTAAGGACTTTATAATAAAACTAGCTAAATTACCCGTCGTTGCCGGGTTTAAGTATATAAATAAATGTATGTAACCTGCCAAGATTAAATTTTTGTTAAATCTATTGGAATTTTTGAAAACACCAAGTTTTCTGATAACAAATTTTGTATCTTGAGATTCAATTCGTTGACCTCCACATTTTTCGCTACTAAAATTGCTCTTTCTGCCAGCCACTCATGATTTGTGTATTGTCTGTGTACACTGGGACATATCTGGTCAATGAAAGCATCTTGCGAATAAATGATTGTGCAGAAATCGTTTGGTAATTTTATACATCCCGTTTCATCTGTAGTAACTTTTCCATCTCCAATATCTAACAATTGTTTTGAGAATCTTTTGCACGCAGCTTTTTTTGATTGAATCGAAATCGAAGTATCGAAATTGTTCGCTTTCTATCTTTATATATATTTCGACCATGAATTGTTGACAAAGCTTATGCATCGTAAAATAACTTAGTCCTGATCGCGTCTAATCATCAACCGATATGCATAATAATTTTTTGAACTAACATTCTTATTTGTTTTGGCACCTGTTGCGGGATCTTTTTGTTAAATATTTATGCAATACCCGTCATTTACTACCAAAAATAAAATTAATAGATTTTAAATAGTTTTTAATAGTTTTTTAATAATTTTTTAATAGTTTTATTTAATATAATTCATTTTCAATAGCGCAGTTATCAACCTGGTCAAAAAATATTAAACCGATTTCAACCCTTTAAATTCAAAATTTCGAAAAATCCTTTCTTAGCGCACGTCTACATCATAATAGCTATCTGTATGCCCAATTTCAGCCAGATCCGTCCAATGGTTTGAGCTGTGCGTTGATAGCAGTCAATCAGCTTACTGTTTTATATATACAGAAGAAGATAAAGATTATAAATATAAAAAAAATCATGATTATTATTTTGAAATTTTGAATTTCAACTATGAATTAACTAGTATAAAGAAAACGTATGCACGTTTGACAACAATTAGACAAACACTGACGAGTGACGACTGAACAAATCTGAGCAAACTAAACACTGAATACAATAGTTGAATAACTTGAATGGTATAAATTTCGACCGTAGTACAGATAGCACAGTACAATATTAAAAGGGTATTACTATTATTAGCTATTGGTAATTAAATTATTCTATACCTTCTTATTCCTTCTTATTAATTTTAAAATAATATCCAATACGGGATCTCCCGGATAGGCCGGATACGGAATAAAGTTAATTCTTGGATTGAATAAATAATTGGAAATTAATTATTTCGTTTAATGGAATACAATATATACCGTTTTTCGTTATGTTTTGTTTAATGATATATCATATATTTTGTTTTGTTTTGTGTTATTTATTAATTTATGTTTATTGTTTTCCGTTATACTATAATTACGTTATAATTACGTTTACAAATTTCAATCGTTTTTTATCAAATATAACGTTATAATCATAACGTTATTATTACGTTTGCAAGCCCTGGTTATTACTCTTAAGAGGACTTATAAACAATGTTTCTTTATAATAACTTTACTTTTTTTTTTTTTGTAAAATTGATGTTATTCTTGTAACGTATAACTTTTTTTTTTTTAATATAAATATAAATGTATAATTACATATATTTTATACATATAGGGTGTTCCATACATTTATATTTCAAATGCACGATGTTTTGTAGACACCATGTGGGCACCGTAAGGGTCAGTGCCAAACCGGTCAAACGCAAAAACAGCGGCGCTAACGTCCTAGAATGCGTGTGGACTTTACTTGACGTTTTTAATACTATCGACACTTTCAACTCCATTGAAACATTGTTGTATTTTTTTTTTTTTTTTTGTAAATTTGTGTATCTTAATATATCCCACGAACATAAAATGAAATTATCAAATCAAATTCAAGCAAAACCATCTCATTGAATGATTAAATTAACATAATAATTGTAGTAATAATAAAAGTAGTAGTATAGTTATAGTAGTAAATAGTAATAAGTTAAAAGTAATAATTTGTAATCAAATATATTAAAATACATGTAGTGTGAATTTATACCGTAAATAAAAAGTAATAAAAGAAGTGTAACATGCATGTACATTTAATATATTTTTTGTTTATTGACAACAATTTTTTATTTTTCTGGTCAATCGCGACAACCAAAAAAAAACTCGGAGATCGATCGTAAGTCTATTAAAGTTGGCCATCCCGGGTCTAGATTATTGGAGGGACTGAAAAAACGTTATCCGTTTATTAAAACTATTATTATTTTTTATCGGACGTTAAAACCGCATTGCACTCGGACAGTTGTTTAAATAATAAATAAACGTATAGTAAATACACGCGGTATAAAATAACAAGACCGCTAAGCGCAGTACTGAAAGACAAGAGAAAAGGGTATAAATGCTGCAGGGAGAGAGTTGAATACAATATGATGTAATACTTATATACAGATCATGCTGGCGCAATTCAGTGGTGGCTAGGGGGGCTTAGCCGTCCAAATATTTATATGTCCTCTACGTAATAGGCCCAGATACGAATTAAAAGTAAAACACCCACTCAAAAATAAAACCCTAGTTGAACCTATGACAGAGGGTGAGATTGATTTTATTTCATACCGAAAAAATCGTAAACGGATTAACAACCATAGCCGTGTATAAGCATTTTGGTAATTAGCTGCTACTCGATAAGTACCGTCACTCGGTTGTCTGCTACTGTTTTGTTGTAAGAATCTTCGGCGTCTTAGTTTTCAAAAGTTATCGCAAAATTTTTCCATAAAACAGCACATTCGTCAAGGACGTGTAAGAGAATCGTTGAGGCGGTTTGGTACGTTCTTTGGTTGACCGATCTTCATCACTTAACACGTCGTGGGTTACGGCTAGTCGGCGACGTTTGCTTATCGTGCGGAAATATCAAAATTGACAGTTGACACGTTTATCGGGGACTTGGTTTTTCTTCGGTACAGTTGCGTTTTAATTTTGGCATGCAGATGAAAGCGATCTAATTTTAATACGTCATGATTGTCATCAGCCAACACCATAAAATTATCCATTACACAACTGCATTGACAACATCGGCGAAACGACTAAATCACATAACATTTCCTTTATCGAGGCTGACAAGATCGGTGAAATTACAAAATCTCATGTAATATAACGTTTCCTTTATCGATGCTACACAGCAACATAATACATTTTTCTAACGTGTTTTATTTTTCTTTCCGAAGGGATTTTCCGAGATCTTCTATCAACGACACTTGTTAGGAAATAGTTGTGTAATTGTATCAGGTATCTTCATCTCCACGAGAAGACACCAGCTGCGCAGACGTTACAACCACTATAGTCAGGTGCTGGAGCGAGAACGATGCAATGGAATAGGAGGGTGACACAAAGAAGTTGCGGTAATCGGTCGATATTAGAATTTTTACACCGTTTCTCAACCATCGAACCAATGATTTCACGTTAGCATAATCCGAATTAAGTCTATATTACTTAAACAATACAGTCAATTGTTCATTAAAAATAAGAAAAAAGTTAAAATTTGATTTTAATTCCCAATCAACAATAATATTAACGTGGGATGAAATACGCATGGAAAACACGAACCTATACACTTAAAGTAACAATATCTCCTTTAAACTATGACATTTCTAATCGGTATAAACGTTAAAATATGTATTGAAAATCCTTTCTGCCGTACGTATATATCAATCGATTTAATAAATTTAATATCCGGAACTTGCAATGTATGTGACTAATCTGAAACAAAAAATAAATTACAGTAAAATTCGTGATCTTGTACTCCTAATCAATATAATTCAGCCGGCAACAAGTTGTTCAATACTTCCACAATCGTTCAGATGTTAAAGTCACATCTATCGTGTGATTTCGCGCAGTGGTGATATTGCTTGACCACCACGTTCTACCGATTTAACTGATTTCTTTTTGTAGTTTTTTGAAATCTCAAGTGTTTACTAATAGGTCATATATATTATAAGAATTAGAAGAAAACAATAGACGGGCAATTACAGCCAACGATGTGCATATTCTACGGAGAGTTATGGGCAGTATGAAAAAACGAATAAGCCAACTATATACAAAATAAAGGCGGTCACTTAAGTAATATAATTTTTAAAAAATCTCTCACGTTCCGCGTTCCCTTTGGCGACTATCACGTCTACCGCGAAGCTGGTGACCGCAGCCCAGTTGGAGGAGTTGTCCAAAAGAGAGACGGTCCGGTATGCGCACGCACTGCCCATGATACACACATTATAAAAGAAAAATATAGAAATCTAAAATTTTAAGTATAAATTGTTCATCACTAATTTTTTTGTTTGAAAAAAAAAAAATTAATTAATTATCTTCTAAGTCTTTTGATTGTTTTAGTGATAAGAATTATTGGGTTATTGTTTTACACATTTATTATAATTAATTATTTATGGATAAATAATTGATAATGGAATTGAATGTCGTATTTGATATTCCAAGGGAAAGTAAATAATGTATGAAATAGTTATTTTAAAAATATGTAATTTGTTCCAATAAACTTTTTCTAATAGGAATAAACGCCAAAATAGCACGCAGTAACTCTTCAGTCTGAATGAAAAACTCAAAAGACTGTAAATGGAGAACATCCTATATATTCTTGGTAGTTTGCCTAAAAGTAATGTGGAAAAGCTGAAATATGATGAATTTCTCAAAAGGTGAGCATTATTTTTATTGTTTATTTTTCTTATAATAATCTAAGTTTATCTTTAAGACTTTAAAACACAAAATTATATTTTAATTTTATTTCAATATTGCAGAAAATATATTAAACGTCCTGTTTATAGTTTTTTTACGTACTTCATTTTCGTATAATATACTATGTTTTACAGTATTGTTTCACTTAAAATTGTTTTATACGATTGAATTAAAATAAAATTACATTTTCATACTCAAAAATATTCATTCCACTGGATTTTAATATTGGTTTGTTACTGGAGAAAACTATTTATAACTGTTATATAATCATTAATTAATCTACATCATAAATAAATCATTGTACACCATTGCCTACGGTCATTAAATAAAAAATAAAAAATCAATAATATTTTTTGTGCAATTTTTTTCTTTTAGTTATGAGCTAAATAATTTTTAAATAATACAATATTACTAGATATCTATTTCTTATATGATTTGGTATATTTATTATGGAAAGGGGAACAATGAGTGGTAGATGGTTCAGGATTTTTCGAAGTTCTATATTTTCTTCCGCATCCCAGCACTTCCGACAATTCCGTGCCATCAATTAACCTTTTTTAAACCAGTTTTTTTCTAGTGTAAGGGGTTACTCAAAGAGTTGTGTTGGTGTTCCTAAAAATTTGTTTGACGTCTAGTCCGTATATTTTCGTCCAGATATTGTTCATATTGTTTTCGATAACATCCGTGGTAAATATGATCAATATATTAGTGAATATCATATAGGCAATATATTGAATTATAAATGTTATAAAAGTAAACAGAAACTAACTCTAAGATAAGTTACAATGTTAATATGAACACAAATAATTATTTTGTAAATATTGTGTTTAGACAAGTTTAATTGTATCAAAATAAATTGTCACCACATTCCGAGAAAATTACTTTGAACTTTAAATTTTTATAAAATTACAGTGTATTCAAGTTTTAATATCAAAGGTTACAAACACTGTAAGATTAGTTTATCTCGTAAACTTACATTATGAAACCAATAAATCGGTTTTTGAATACGATCCGTTGAAATTGATTTTATTTTATTAATAAATAAATAAAATATAAATATAAATATTATAAAAAAATAAAATAAAATACATTTCAACGAATCGTATTCAAAAACCGATTTATTAATTTCATAACTAAGGCAAATGTAAGTTTATGAGAGAAACTAAGCTTACAGTGTTTGTAAAATTTGATACCAAAACTTGTATATATTGTAATTATATAATTCATTGGCATAATGCGGCATAATAATCTACGAGTGATGAACTAGAAGAGGAATGAATATACTTTACTATTAATGATTCCGATAAAAAGATATAGAAGTCACGGGGTTGAACGTTACTTGTTTCCCGTGACGTTGTGCAGATGTCGCAGTAGATGACGGGTTTCGGTGTATCGTGAAATTTCGCCGGAGATGCGATTCGCACGACGATCCTTTAACAGCACTTACCGATGACGGCGATTGCCGGCCTTCCTGGTCTGTCCTTCGGCAAAATCACCTCACCGTGAATTCGAACCATTCGTGTAACACATTCGCACGTTCAGAACAATGTCGATCATGTGTACTGTTCGCGGAGACAGAGGAGTGTTTTCTGCGTACCCGGCGATCGAGTAGCTCTTCAGTTTTTTGTATAGTCTTGAGACATCGATGATCTATACAAGAAAAACTCACACCCGTTTAGCATAAAACGGTAGGATTCACCGGAAACAACCGGTCGCAGTATTGTATATTATAGTTAATTTTACTTTTTCGAGCTTTGGTCCGATTATGATTAATAAAACGCAGAGACACTCCAACGAATGCGCGTCGTGTATCTGCATGAACGTGTCGACGGTATTCATTACGGTTTTGAACATTTGGCCTCGCACGAACAGCTCACCCAAAAGCCTGAGAACACGTTGCGTACAGTGATTAGAAAATATCCAAATATCGCTATAAGAGTAGGGACGGGATTCATTGAAAATGGGATTTTTTTCCGAACGTCACAAGGTTCGTTTCATACACCGGTGAATTAAAAAACTAGAACATTTAGTTTGAATTTTTAGTTTATTTTTCATATTTGTTTTGAGAACGGATAAGTTTGATAACAATTTCATAACATTTCTCTTAATTATCGCATTCTTTATTTGCGTTCGAATCGTCACGTTGTCAATTAATCGTATTTTATTTTTTTTTTTTTTATAGAATTTTTCATATTTTTTAGAATTTTTAAATCCGTTGCCTAATGTAAAAGTTTCCAACACGATAGTGTTTACCTGCACGTTCCTTGCGTACGGTCATGAACTTTTATATCAAATATCTGTTCCGATCGCGCAGGGTCCTGGTGTTGTCGCGATGTTCCCATCCGGGGCAATACTCCGCCTTCAATCAACACGTTTCTGCAGGATTTTATCAACTCAATTTTGAACGCGCTCGACAACCCTTGACATACGGTTCTCCTCGAGTCTACACAAGCTTTTTCGATCGCGTCGCAACATAGTGTCGCGTATAAAGCGCAGTTTTCAAGCTTGTCAATCGCCTGCAAAAGGAGCGGTAGTATTATATAATTTAAACTTCAATAGACGGTAAACATGTTCCCGTTGCTACTGTACATTTGACACTAAGCAGTCGGTAATCATCTTCATGTGAAGTCGGTTCGCGCGATTCGTTTGCACGAGTATATTGAAAAATTCTGTGGCGTTCTCTTGAAACGTGTACAACGTCACATTTTTCAAAACCTCAGAAGCTCTGCTGACGTATTCCTGTCACTAAAACAAAAAAGTCGTTTTCCAAATATTACTTCCGACACATAATTACGAGTGCAATCAAAGCGCTGTATTGTTTCACAATCAACGCGATGTGATTTGATTTCTACCACTATACGCTCGTGATTACATAATTTACGATTAGTATTTTTGCATTTGCTCAACATAAACTACTTTAATTCGGTTTAATTATTATCCGATGCATCATGCCACTACTCATAGCGGTTTCTTATTACCTCGTGCGGTTCAAGGATATTGCTAGATATACTTGGCTGCTCATTGGACCTGGTCACAGAAAACTCCGTGGAAACTGATGTACGGTTCGCGGTTTCCTGAGATCGAGTGACCGGCTCTACGGCCGTTACGTTTATCTTATTTCGACTCGGCGGGTCGCACCGTTGATTGGAGATGATGCGATCCGATTCTACCACAGAAACTACCGAGTCATCCAAAACTTCCCGGGGTCTTACCGTCGATACCGACTCGTTGGACACGTTTCCAAGAGATATTTCGTAGTCGCTCAGCTTTCGTAGCTTATCTTCTTGTGAGTCGTTTTCCTATATAGTATGTATAATATGCATTGTATATATATATCTGTAACACTCAAGTATCGCAATCAAACGTTCAATAAAAATCACATCCATTCAACTAACATTATCATTGGCGACTACAGTAAGGGGAGTATCGTCTGAGTTCACGAATTCTCCATTGACTATGTTTTCGTTGGTGACGAACGCATTCAATTCGTGCAACAGAAGAATTTTGCTCTGCTGCATGCACGTCTACAAGTGAACACGATTGAATTATTGAAAAATTAAAACTGTAACATGTTTATAATTAAGATAAGCGCTCTAGACACATACCAACTTAATGGAACCGTTAGTCGAAGCACTGTACGGTTCGCATTCCAAGATCATTGTCCATTCCGCTGGTAAATAACTGATCGTGAGGACCAGCGGGCACTCATTTCTGTCCATGAACTCGCAAATCTCGTTCGGGATATCCATCTCTGGGTCGACCAGTACAATATTCTGGTCGAAGGCTTTCCTCGCAGCTTTTCCAGTCACTCGTTCTTTGGACAATTCGACCTGTGCAAGCAGGTTCGAAACGACCGATAGTCAACGGTTAACAGTGCATTATGACGTATCATATAGCTAAAGTGATCATATATTTTTCTAGTCCAAACGGGACGAAGAAAAAATCTTCATAATCACGAATTAAGTAAACTCATTAACAAGTAACTAATTCTTATTATTAATATATATATATTTTTTTTAAAAAAAAAAAAATGATCGACGATTTCTTTCAAGAATACTGATATAATGAACTATGAAAATTGATTTAACAACTTTTTACTCCTTTATGAAAATAAGACATTTTAGTGTTCCCAAGATTCCAAAAGGTATAACCGGACGAAGATACAAAAAATGGGACTGTCCCGTTCGAAACGGGACGTACGGTCACTTTACTTATACGCATCGTAAATAATTTCACCGACCTCGGAGTAAACATCTTGCGTCTCGCTACTCGATTCAGGACCGTTGTTGCTTCTAGCCTGCCAATCCGATGACAATTGCCGTGCACCGTCATTGGTGTAGGCGCAAAACACTTTAAGCTTGTGCAATACGTCCTGTTTGCACCGGCGTACACACGTCTAGCCAAACAACGGTTTATTAGATCAGGGGGGGGGGCGAGCTTCGTAAGTAAAACAGCCGATGTAAAGCGATTTCGGTGGTCGCTGTACAACGACTTTATGCGTACGTACCGATTCGTCCGAACCGGTGACCGAAGAGCTCAGCGATCCGACGCTGCAACTGGCTTCCAATCCGGTCCGGTTATACACGATTTTCAGGTCAAACGGACATTCCATGATCGCCGAAAAATCGCCAAGCTGTTCGTCGACCGTTCGCTTTCTCATTGCGTTCATGCAATATTTGACCATCTTTCCCTTTAACGATTTGGTAGCGGCAGATTCTTCGCAAGACATTCTACCGGAATCCATAGCGTTAAATGAAAGAGCACAAAACAGTAAATTATTGAAAAAGTAAATATTAATTGAACGATTGAGAATATTGTAAAAATCTCGTTAGAGTTTTATGTAATATTCGTACAAGTCATCCAGTTGTAAGATTCAAACGTCTTTAAATCAGCAAAAAACAAACAATTGATATGTCATCAGAATTACCGATCAACGAACTATAAAATTGTTTAATTTTATTTATTGTGGCCACCTACTTAAATGCATGTGAATTATATAATATATTATAAGCCATATTCATTATTAGAGTTAGAAGAAAACAACAGATGGGAATTTACAGCCAACGATGTGCATATTCTACGGAGAGTTATGGGCAGTATGAAAAAACGGATAGCCAATACAAAATGAAGGCGGTCACTTAAGTAATGTAATTTTTATTGATAAATGTTAAACGTAATATTTGTAATAAATAAAATAAACTTTTTTTTCATTACTTTGTTTCTAATACTTGACTAATAAACTTAAATTAAAATTCGTCAGAACCCACTGTCCCACTCTGTATCTAATCATGAAGTAAGATGTATAATAAATATACGCTATAAATACGTAAAAAAATTCTCACTAAACTTATTTAGAAACGGTACACTAAATATCTCCTAAATATTTCCATTATGAACGACTTAATTTATAGTTAAAATACTATTGATACGGCGTTTGATTCGCAATTTGTTTATAATTAAAAACTTTGAGCTCGTTTGAGTTATAAGAATGCAAATATTTTTACTCGTTGAAACTTTAACCAATAATTTCAAGGTGTACATGTATGCGTTTGTAATATGATCTTAATACACAACACCCAGTACGTATTACACCTTCTAGTTATAATCATAATAATAATAATAATAAAAGGAATTATATTTATAAGATATTTTTCAACACGTATCATTACAGTGCCATTATAATAATGTAACACCTAATAATATTATATAATAATATATAGTGTACCCACGCTGAAAATTGTTTTCAAACACTCTCATTCTCTCTCTCTCTCTCTTTCTCTCTCTCACACATACACACACTCTCTCTCGCTAATGGCTTAAAACAAACTAGACACAGTTGATAATATAATATTTTGTCATGCATAAATACCGCAAATCGATAAAATATTACGCGCTGTATACCTACGTTTACACTTCAACTACACCTGAATGTTGTAAAAAAAAAAAAAACAATTTATACCCTTTGCTTTCGATATCCTGTGCGTAGATTTATCAACCAGAAAAGCTCATCGAGGAGCAACATCGAAGTAAACATTGTTGTAAAGTATCTGCTCTTGGAACTCTAATTCGAATAATCATGCATTAATATCGGTTGTATGTGGTTTGCGACCAAGCAAGTGCAATATCACAAATTTATTAAGTATGTTATCGGATAACAATGTGCATCTACGTAATATTATCATTATTATTATTGTTAATCCTGTTGGCAAAGAAAGAAATATTTTAATTGTTCAAACATTATATCTGTCCAACGACTGTATATTATACACTTTTTTCTTTTTACACAAGCGGTATTAAACTAAGAGCTTAATTAGTCTTACATTCTACCGTTCCAGTTTGAAGTAGGCTGTCTTGTGTAACGTCGTTTCCTCTGTTGTACTACTGCCTTGCAATTATTTTATAATATAACGTGCTGATTTAATACAAATATGCTATGCCAGTTAGTGATTTGTCTAAAGCTGAAACACACACACACACACACACACACACACACACACACACACACACATATATATATATATAATTAGTCAATTAAAATATTTCGATTTTATTTAACATTCATAGTACGTTTACTAAATATATTATATTACATTTAAACATAAGAAAAAAAATCGACTTTCTTCGCTCATTATATTTGTATATGTTTGGTGGGGCACAAGGACTATACAATGGTATTATATTTCACATAATAAGTAATTATTAAATGCAATTGAAATGATTATATAATAATGTTTTAATTACTCCAGAATACCTTTTCAGTAACAATTTTTACTAGACAATTTAAAATAATTATAAAAGAAATATAGTCATAAATGAATAAAAGCCTTACAGTTGCAGCCTTAGCAGTTATTATTTTTTCACTTGAATTAATTGAAAGAATATTCAGAATAGATATTATCACTATAGATTCACAGATACTTTTTTTATTACCTTAAAATTTCACTGGAACAATAATTTTAGCTTATGTAAGATATAAACACGAAATTGATTTATACAGTGAAATCTCTACTTCTGAATATCGGACACTCTCTGTCACCTAAATTTAGATGATTAAACGAGTATTTATTTAAAAAAAACGATCAGCTAATAGTGGTGGAAGTTTGTGTTTCGTTCCTTTAGTCTTCAGATTGAATAATGGTATTGTGATATAAAGAAAATAGACGCCACCGCGTGTTCTTTTCAGAGAGTGTAAAATTGCTGCAATTGCTGCGCAATTCATATTCGTTTTTGACATTTTTAACCTTTTTTACAATATAAATTAATAAAATGAAAAATTTAAAAGTGTCGAGACTCGTGAATCGAATAAAAATTCGTTAACGTAAATACATTATAATTTTTATTATAACAATCATTTGAAATCACAATAACTCAATGTCCATGCATACGCATATCAATTAAAATCAGTCATATTAAAATAGAGTGTTAATTAGTAACTGTATTCAAGTATTCGTTGTTTAGTGTACAAAAACTGATCGGAACATCATTGCATATGCAATAGTATCAACTTTTTTTCTAATAACCCAAAATATCATATTTTTCAAAACAAGTATTGACTGGTTTTTTTTAGAAAATCGGAACTGGAAACGAAAAACGCAATAACTTTCAGTCCCTGTTTTAAACCTGATAAACCGTAGTGATCGTGTACAATTGAAGTAATTACTTGATATTCCATAGGCCTACTCATAAACACTTTGATCTAGTATAAAAACATGTTTTTATAAATTGATAATTATATTGAGCCTCGCTTACGTGTCTAGAGGTTCACATTTAAAAGTTTACAATTAACATAACATAACATTTTAATTTTAAAAAAGTAAGTACACTACTTCTAATAAAAACTGTTTTCATGTGGAGACCAAAGGATTCCAGTATTCCATTTCAGATCTGAATTATATCGAGTATAGTTATATCTAAAACAATACACGGGGCAATGCAACGGGTTTAGTCTTGGATAGTTTTAATCTGCACCTTTGGTTTGAAAAAAATATTAAAATGTTAATATGAAATATTTTATGCTCTTGCTAAACGTAAATATTGCCGATACAGTATACACGTTTTTTATTGATGTGATAAAATTGTGACACTTAATATCTTATAGTAAATCATATCTAACGATAAAAATGCATTTATATTATTGAATGCACAGTAATACCACTGATTTTTCGGTCAATAAGTACTTACACACCACCGTAAGATCAAATAATTGCAGCTTCACGATGACGGCCGAGAATGATATGCTTATATAATTACAAACTGCATAATGTTACCACAGCTACTACGTATACTTAAGTCCGACATGAACATTCGCGCCCTCTTCCTATATCATGTGAACCTATAATGTTTCACCTGTTTCTCATCGCGAGGTCGTTAGACGGTTTTGAAAATCCCAATCACCTCGGTAACCTCCATGTTACGATTTAATGGACAGCAAACGTTAGTTGACATGACATGCAAAAAATGTCAATGCTACATTCTCGCACATGCATAATTAATTTAACTGATTTTTATTTTTATTTTTGTGCATATTGTCCTAAACAATCTGTCAAATTCTACAATCCGATCAATTAATCTACTTCTAAATTGTCATATGAATTTATTTCAAAAATTAACCATGCAATAAATTACCATGGAACGCAGTGGGCCCAGTGCTTGGTTTCAGTTGCGTAACGATCATCCGACCATCCGTCAAGTTCGTTTGGATATAATTAATGGAACTATAGCAGTGTGAATAACATAATATGCCACCCGTCCCAGGGCGATATCCTTATCGAACGGAGTTGACCTTAAACTTCACACAATACTGCAGTGCACGCCATATACAATATGACCGATACGAAGACCTCACGTTTAACTTAATCGTCTATATCTTTTTCTCTCCCTACGAACGTCCGGTACCAACACTGTATCTTAACACTTCCTTTCTCATCACAAATCCAACCTCCGAACCGAGTTTATTATATAATGCTTGATACCTTATTAAAACAACCGTCTCCCTTATATAGGGTAAGTAAATATCTCACACGTACTTTCACAGCGCAAAGAAATCGAAAACTTTCCAATCAAAAGTATGCCCAATCATCGTATTGTTACAAAAAGCCTCTACGTGCAAATTATAAAATAAAATCATAAACTTCTTTCATTTATATGTACGTTATATGATTGTAAGTATATGGTAAGCCCGACGTCATATTTTCCAAAGATTATAGTTCAAAACCTACGCTGCGAAAATCTTCTATAGTGTCGACGTGCAGACATTATCCCTGCGTGCAGATGTCTAATATATTCTAAACATATACGCGTTATAACCAAAATAGAATATATATGTTATTTTTTGCTACATCATGCCTGAAGTACCTACTCTCTCTACAAGAAATCGAAAACTAACAAACATAATCAATCACAAGTATGTAGTTATATCGGATTAGCTAATCGTATTTTTTCTGCGATTTCCGTGTTATGAAGATCACTAGGGTGGGTAAACATAAAAATACATTGAAATATCGTATTCTTTTTTAAATTGATTTTCATTGAACATATCTTATACACTGCTGAAATGCTAGCACGATTTGTCCGACCTAATTTTCCTAGTGTATAACTGTGATCTATCAGGTACAAAAAAAATCGTTTGTTGTGGATCTAAAAATTGAGTATAAAACTGAAAATAAATTAATATTGATCATTCGTCGTAATTAAAAAAGACATTATATTTCATGTACTGCAAATAACAATGGCTTTTGTCGATTATTACCCTGTGCTGAATCATAGCGAATGTTTTAACGATCTATCGTTGATAATTAGTTCAATTATCAAGCAGAAAACGTTGAATGCACAGAATGACTAATGGTGTCTCCAGTTATGAGCAAAACACGAGCTCATTGCGTTAACTGAAATCAGTACTAAGCGTGGAAAACATTTATTTATGTTCTCGCTTGTAAATATTCTTGACCAATCAATAAAATTATAACGGTTTTATTTTTCTATCATTGGTAAGTAGAAATTTTCAATCGGACATTCTAGTAAAACATGTTATCGTTTAATATTATTTTTGTTTTATAACATAAATAATATTTAAACGTCTATAATCGACAAAATTACTGTTAAAAAAATATAATAAGGCTTGGTAGTATGAAACGAGCATATGTACACGATGTCGAACCTTCTTTCACTAATAAAAACAGTTACAAATCTAATAAATCAGCAACATGTGGACAAGACACGGACATTGGGTGTTGGTCATTCTTACGCTTCATTCACATTGACGTAAGTTTCAATGTTGTTTATATGATTATTTTTTGTTTGAGAATAACGATTGAACATTACCTATTATGGTAAGGTGACGATTTTGAGTAGTAAGTTTAGGTTTATCAACGTGTACTCATAGTTAGTTAGTCATAGTTAGTACTCGTTTTTGAAAATACCAAGTGAAGTAAAAAAAGAAAAAAATAATAATATTATTTTATTATATTATTATAATAAACTACTTTCATGAATTATTATTATTATAATGATAATGATAATGATATGATGAGATGACTAATAATTTTGTGTTTCATAATTCTAATAAGTCACTTAATTTATAAGAGTTAAAATGGTTTTAAAAATCTAGTATGAATATTATATTTTATTCTTATTCTGGATATGGAAAGCCGTGTCAATGCAAATTATTTTGTATATCTCAATTAAAAATTTTTAAAATAAACACAAAAAAATCAAGTACCTACCAAATCGAAACGGTTCAATAAAATGTATTGAATATTTAATATTCTAGACCGAAACATTACATTTAAATTCGATGAGGCATAAAACCAACGTTGGGCTTGACAACAGTAATAAGTCAGAGTTTCAAAAAGAGATGCGTTGAAAATTCCGAAAAATTTTACACGAGTTATAACTGCAATCAATTGGTTATTAAATATTGGTTTTACTGTCCAGTAGAACTTTATTGGGATATGCTAACGGTATGACTATCATTCTATAGTTATATAGGATGATCATACATTCCGTTGAAAACGGGATTGTCCTTTTTTTATCATTATGCCACGTTGTCCCGATAAACTTTGAACGGAACGTTTTTTGTCCCGTTTTTAGAATAGGGTCCCGTTTTAATACCGTTATTTCCATAAAGATTGTAAACCATGAGTAAAAGAAAACACATCATGCCTACACTCATGTTCTACAAATGTGGTATCTGTTATTTGGATTGAAAACCAACAATACTGATACGATAACAGAGGCGTAGTTAGACTTACTTCTGGGGGGAGGGGACATTCAAATTTTTCTTTAATTCAGGTTCAACATTTACAAGTAAAATTGTTGGTAATATTTAAATCTGGTGAATCCTTAATATTTGTAGTTTT